TTGTCCTTTTGTAGACTGGTTACTATCCAAGATTAGACAGCCTACTCTGCCTATTTTATCAATATTAAGTGTTTTCAGTAAAAATAACAAGAAAATATTGTTGATAATTCATATTCAAGAAACAAGTTATTCACTACAAAATCTGTCATGTCATCCTTAGGAGCTATTACTAACCTTTACTGAAAGTAGCCATGTGTTGGATGTGCAGTTAGTGTAATGGCTATTAGCACAGAAAGGGGACTTGATGATCTGAGTTCAAATTCTGGTCTTGTCTGTTGCATTTACTTTCACACAAATGCTCTTGGGAAAGGTATGAATCCATTTCTTCTTTCTCTAGCTAATTCACAGGACAGACTGGCCTCTCTAACCTGGCAACCAGTCAAAGAGAAAGAAAACTCTAAATTCAAAATTGTAGAAAAGGTAACCAGAAGCCACTTCACTATCTTTCCTAATAAGTTATAGAAACTGACAGATAACAAAGAAAAACACACCTATGAAAAGCTATGATAGCCTCATCCTGAAGAGAGACATGACATTAAAAAAAAAAAAGTCATTTGTTTCAGATTTATTTATTTTCTAATCATTTTGGGATTTATAAATTATTCAGGGAAAACAATACCTGCTTTTTTATATATTTAAAAAAGTTAACAAGTAATTAATTTTTAGGTGTTTAATGTTTGTAAGTGATTATTATGAAGTTATTTATAGAAGATAATTATTAACAAGTGATTCTTTAGAAGCAATTATTGCCAAATCAGTCATTATTTATTGTCTGGAAACATTTATCAGAAAATGATTATGCTTGCATAGAGCAGTGGTTAGCAAAGCTATTTTTATAGATTGACTAAGTTACTGAAAGAAATATTAAGTTGGAATTAAAAACTGTAATTATAGAAGTTGCACAAAATCTAAAAGGACAAATATTTTGAACTAAAAAAATAAACGTGTCATTTTAATAATGACTAAGTTATAAAGATAGCATTAATGTGAATCGTGTATTTCAACATAAAAACATTAATATGAAATGAGTGCTCTATATAAAGACAACATTAATGTAAAATGTGTGCTCTATATAAAGACATCAATATGAAATGTGTGCTCTATATAAAGATGACATTAATGGGAAATGTGTGTTTCTATATAAAGACATCAATATGAAATGAGTGCTCTATATAAAGACAACATTAATGTGAAATTTGTGTTCTGAAATGAGTTATAGTGTTTTTCAATAAATGCAATGATACTTTAGTGTGTGGTTACTTCTATAATTAATGTATAAGGATTCTTACAAGAATACTTTATCATACGTGAAATAATAGTGTTGATAAGGTACATGCACAAAATAACAGAGACTGATTGATTTGCAATGCAAGATAACATCTGTTAAACAAAACAACAAAAGGAAAGTTTAAGAGTTTCTTTTGTAGAAATAAAATAGAATACTTAACAAAAATTGTCAATGAATGTATTTGTGACTTGCCTGTGTAGGCATGTTTGTGTGTGAAACATTCACAATCCTTTTTGCTTCAGTGTGAAAAGTTGATGGAACACACTTTGAAAAGAGGAAAACAGGAAGAGAGGGCTACTTAAGGGTTCACTTGTTTTTATACCCTCAGGGCTGCTGCTGATACTATGTTTATTAAAGGCTGCTGCTGATACTATGATTAAGAGCTGCTGCTGATACTATGTTTATTAAGACACTAGAATACATTGTCATACATAAGAATCATCTTTCAGAAAATGACTGACTTCTTGAACTATGGCTCTGTGTGTGTTTTCAACAAATTATAACCTTTTGCAATATTGTGACTATCACTTCTCACACCTATAATTGATTGTGGTGATTTGTTGCCTCTTATTAGCCCACATTTATAATTTTTAAAGTTTTAGATTTTAAACCATAGTTTACCTTTTGCAAGCTCCGAAGTTATAAAACATTTCTCTTTATACATAAAATCAGAGTTACAATTCATTCTAAACCTTGCAACTTTTGTTCTGAGATTTTGAAATGCGAGACATTTCATAAAAATTCTTGTCATTTGCTTATAACCGTAAAGAATGAGATGACTCATCGTAAATGCACAGAGAGATGTTGACATTATTCAGCAAATAAAATTTATCCTTTATACTGGATTTACCTCATCCTGCTAAGTTAAACCAACTTTCAACTTTTACTGCTTATGTTTCCACTATTGACTTATGGATTAAAAAAAAAAAAGATTTATTTTATTGCATTTTTCTCTCATTGAGTTCTCTTTGATCTAACATTTCTTCATGATTTTTCTCATCTACTTTAAGTCATTTTAACTGAATCAACCTAAAAACTTACCTACATCAACCTAAAACCTTGAGTATTGTTCTTAAATAGCTTTAAGACTTTTATATGGATGTCATGCATGACACCAAACTCTCTGTCCTGTTTATGACAATAAATTACATCCAGCAGCAAGGCCTCTGATCAGGAAATTAGGGGTTTTCAGGAGCTTGGAAACACCTCTCAATTGCTGTTGTTCCCAAGTCCAATATATCCCAGGGTGGTAGCACCTGTTAGGGTCCCAGCTATTGGCAAAATAGTGAATCCCCAAACTGGGGTTAAAATACTATGAAAGTATAAAAATACATTTTTATAGTAAAAATTGCAGCAATAGATTTTAATAGTAAAAAAATTACCAAAGCTCAAAAAAAAAAAATTTTGGCATTAAATGACCCATAAGGAGTTGATATGCCATTAAGCAAACCAAACCACGAAACTCTTTCAGAAATACTTAAAATATCAGTTGTATATAACCATTTCAGATCAATAATTAAAAATGGCTTTGAGCAGATGAGCCCTGTTGGTCTTAGCAATGTTCATCCTTCTTTGAACTTTGTGAACTGGTACTACAGAATCACAAAGAACTGTACCAAACAACAGAAGCCATATCACTTGAGGAATTTCAGCAACAGCCAAAACTATAATAGATAGCACATGTAACTCAAAGAGAAAATAATAAGTATTACCATTTTTATGGTAATATATTTTTTGTTACCCCCTCTTTTCTGTTATGAATCGTCTTTTAATATATCTGTTTTTATCGCATTAATAAAAGTTTCTACCCCTATGAAAAGTTTTCAATACATGTGGATCAGATACACTGAATTCAATTTGTAGGTTAAATAATATTCTGTATTGCCATTTTTTTATGATAATATATTTTTTGTTACCTCCTTCTTTTTTGCTATAAATTGTATTTTAATATATTTGTTTTTTTTTGTACAAAGAAAATAATGACATAATCAAGATGTTGACATTCCACACTACTTCAAACAAAAGGTTGGGAAAGAAACCCACATCAATACTGGAAAGAGTGATAACAGCTACTGGACTTGAGAATAGAAAATAATAACATAATCAAGATGTTGACATTCCACATGACTTGAAATAAAAGGTTAGGAAAGAAGCCAATAACTGTTAGTGGAAACCTACTTTCCTGCAAAAATTGTTTTAATAGAAAGATTTTATAAATTTCAGCAAAAATTAGCACTGGCCACTTAGTCAGTGAATGTCAAATGTTTCCTTATAAGGAAACAGCTAATATTACCATTACTATTTTAATGTTACAAGCTTCCTGAAGAGCATTTTCATACAAAACAAAATCTTTGCCTAGCTACAAAATCAATGTATATCTGAGTAGTCATCTTAACACCATCTGGAACTCATTATTGGTTGAATATTTTATCATCTATAATTCCACTTGAAAACAACACATCAGTTTTGCCTTCTTGATCTCTCAAGCTGTGAGCGTGCTTATCTGCCAGTAGCCACCCAGACTTTATCCATCTGACCCACTGAGGGTAGCACAGTATTAGTGAAAAGAACAATTGAAAAATTGGTCTTCTTGTATTCAGTTGCACTTTTTATTTACTTTTTCTTATTTATGTCTTTTAAAGAAGACAAAGTGATCAGTCTCACATATTTTGTCACGACACCTTGTTTTTTTTGGCACTTCTTTGTAACTACAATGCTTAAAGTGTCCTGGGTATGACGATAAACTACATCCACGTCCAGGATAAGACAATAAACTACATCCAACAGCAAGGCCTCTGATCAGGAGGTTTTGAGGAGCATGGAACCACCTCTTAATTGCTGATGTTCCCAGGTCCACCCTGACCCAGGTTGGTAGCACCTGTTAGGGTCCCAGCTATGGACAAATACTTAACCCTGAAACTGAGGTAAAAAGCATTATAAAAATGTAAAAATAGGTTTTAATACCAGAAATACTTTGTAAAAAATTATTACCAGAAATAAATTTTTGAAGAAAAAAACTATTACCAGCAATACGTTTTTGAAAATAATATTACCAGCTATACATTTTTGAGGAAAAAAATATTACCAGAAATAGATTTTTGACAAAATAAAATATTACCAGGAAAAAAAAGTTGTTGGCATTAAATAACCCATTGAGGTTGATATGCCATAAAACAAACCAAACCAAACTAAACATATAATATATATATATATATATATATATATATATATATATATATATATATATATATATATATATATATATATATACATACACACCTACTTTTACCAAACTATCGCTATGAATATATTTCAAAATTTTGTTGGCATTAAATGACCCACTGAGGTTTATATGCCATAAAACAAAACAACCAACCAACAATGCTTAAAAGTTTCATAGCTTCACAAAGACATATTTCAATACAGCTCATGTTGTATTAGATTTGGTTGGTTTTTGTTTAGCAGCATATCAACCTCTATGTGTTTTTTAATGCCGAAATTTAAATATTTTGTACAGAATTTTTTTTGAGATAATAATGGTTTCAGTGATACATTTTAATTAATCCATAGCTTGGGGGAGAAGAGGTGGATTTATACCTCTTCCAAGGGCATTTGCACATAAGTGAATATAATGAACCCAACTGGAATTGAAACTCAGCTCTCCTATTACCAATTCCAAGCCATTATCCATTGCACCATTTGCATATCTAAGCTTACAGCATCTGGTATTCCTAAACGGACACTCATCTAGCTACTGACCATGCTCAATGTTGCTTAACTTCAGTGATCATAAGGGAACCAATGTTTCAACATGATGTCACTGTAAGCTGCTGTTGTATTAGAAAATTCTTTGATTTTCATGACATTAAACCAGTGACTATTTTTAATTCCCTGATTTTCCCGTTTTCCAAGTTGGTTGTGAATGCTACTCCACTCTAATCTTAGGCAGAAAAGTAAAATGATTGTACATACAAACAAGCAGAATAACAGTACTAGATTGGCAGCTAGGTCTCATCATTTTACAGTCAAAATAGTTAGATGTAACTGTAAGTTCTATGTTAACAGTTTCTTCTTTGGCACTTCTCACTTGTAGGATTCTCTTCTAACTTCTTGCTTTCCATTCAGCTTTGATCTTCAAAAATTTGAATGCAATATCAACTGTTATTCTTTGTCTTCTTAATTGCTGCTGTTTTATTGTTCTCTCCTTAAGAATGGTTTTCTTTTTTTCATATTCTTTCACACTCAGTAACACCTTGTATCTTAGAGGTTTTATTGTCTTGCTTAGAGTGAAATGATTAAAAAAAGAATAGTATAGGTTGGAAGGGTCTGGAATTGGGTGCAGATACTATACTCTGATCCTAGATAGAAAAATATATTTATACAAACAAGTCAAATAATAATATAGATGATTTACAAAAAAAACTATTTGTCTGAGGAAGTAATCAGAAAGTTATATTTGATGTTACTATCAGTACACTGGAATACTAACAATTGATTTTAAAATTACTGCTGTTCATAAATCCAGTGAACAAAAATAAAAAGTCTATGAGTAACATTTTCAATTCTTTTTGTTCAATGTATTTACACAAAAGCAAAATACAGTCATATGTTAGATTTTCATTGTCTCTGCTAAGATAAGAACTTGAATAGTCTTTTCATTGTTGCCTCCTGTTGGCACTCCTATATTTTAAAAAAATAACTGGAACAAGAAGCTTAACCAGCAATTGTAGTAAAACTGATTTGGGATATAAAAAGGCCTCAAAACTCTAAAAATGGCATTTCTGTGGCCAAAATAATGAGGATTGAAGTATTGTCTGTTCCAGCAGCTGACAGCCAGACCATGGCTCCAGCCCTCAGTAGCAGTACCAGCCAGCCAGCCAGAGCTTCACTTCACCATCAGCCACAGCTCACCATCGACTGCCACTCCAGCTAGCCATCCTTGCCAGTAGCAATGATATATGATAAACTGTCCTTTTCAGGACAACACTTTTCAATGACTACAAAACTTCTTAGGACAATGCTCTTCTCACTCTCTACATGAACATGCAGAGATATTTTTCGCCTAGTGTACTGTAACCTTATTTTTGCTGATGTTATTTTCACTAACAAAAATAAACTTGACAATATATTTTTTTAATCAAGTCTTCATTTTGTTTCTTGTTGCCTTTTGTCAGTCAATATCTGTTTGTTTACCACCCTCAACACTATGTCTGACAGAACAGCACAATTTATAAAATCAGTCAGGCTTCATCATAGGAGTAATATTATAAAATTAGGTAAGGATTACTAGTAAGCTGATAGATTAGAATGTAGCATAAGTATTAACCACTGGCTAGTCTGAAAGACAAAATCAAACTAGTTCAGTGTTTCGCAAAGGAAACATCATTAATATTACTCTGTAAATTTATAGAACTCTTATAATAATGGTCATGGTATTAATTCCAATATTATACATTTTTCAATAGGTTGGTGATCTTCCCTTTGATAAGCAGAGTATAGAAAAATTAGAATTGGACTTTTGTTATTGTAGTTGAGAAATCAAAGTTTGGCTGGAGAGAATGAAAAAAAATCAAACAAGGAGTAAGCTTCCCTTATTTCAACAATGTGTTTCTTGTATCCAACCTAATCATCTTAAAGATTATTGGGTGTTTAAAAAGGCCAGGATGAATGCTGCTTTTCTTTACTCTTGTCTGTCTGTTTGTTTGTTTGGGGTGTGTGACTCTCTCTTCACATTGTTTTATTTTGTGTTAAAATATTGCACCGAGAAATAAATCTTGTCTGTTATTTTTTTTAAATGAAAAGTATATAAAATTTTATAAGAAATTCCTATTCAGCAAATAAATGAAAAATAACAAAATATTCGAATAAATAAAAACAAAATAATTAAATAGCATGTCAGATTGTAAAAATTTTAAATTACTCTGAATTAATCCAATTATTTTTCCTTAAAGAAAAGAACATGCAGATACAGCATTATTTTGATAACTGGTTTGCTAATTACAAAAAAGTCATTTAATTGCATAATGATAAAATTACAAGTTTGACAATACAAAAAGCTTATGTGAAGGAGTTATTGCAGAAAATACAAGGATCTGTGGTCCATATAAAATCAGGACAACCTTCAAAAGCTGGACGACACTTCGCAGATACCTCTCTCAAGTAAGACCCCCCCATAGAGGAGAACATGACTAAAGACGGTGTGTATACCATCCCGTGCAGCTGCGGAAAAGAATATAAAGGGGAGACAGGCTGCTCCCTTAAGGTAAGGCTTCAAGAACACCAAAAAGTAGTAACATGAGGGGAAGTGGAAAAATCAGGCGTGGCTGACCACATATGGAGAGAAATGGGAGATCACCGCTCTCTGTGGAATCAGGTTGAAATCATAGACAAAGAACATCATTGGAAAATTTGTAAACTTAAGGAATCAACGCATATGCTAGACCACAAAAATCTCCTGAGCCGACCAAGCATAGAAATGAATACAATATGGGAACCAGTAATAAGGAATGCCAGAGAAAAGCAATAACAACAATGAAAATTGCAATATAAGCTCTGGTACATGCAATGATAACAGCAAAAATTGCAATATGAGCACTGGTAAAAATGGTTGCTGATACATTAGGTTTATAAGCCCCAGAATTCATACACAGATATCCTCAAGGACACATGTCTCAGTGGATAAAGGTGTTAGTTAGATCCAGTGACAGGACCCAAAGAGCATGAGTTCAATACCTGGTTAAGGTGGTGGAGAACTCTGAGTGGGGAATTAACAGGAGATAACTGATAACTGACATCCATTAGACATGATATGTGGAACTAGAACAGTGAGTGAAATAAAGGGTTCAATTTGACATTCCAACCACCTGAAGAAGGCCGGAGTGTTGCGCTAAATATGACAACAAAGTTGAGGATGATAGTTAGAACAATGTAAATAGTGTACCTAATCTCAGAAAATATAGACAGGTACAAAAAGCTTAAGCATCTACTTCTTAACTATTCTGCTTCTAAGTCGTAAACCAATTTTCAATGGGACACAAGACAAAAAAATGTTTTAATTGTTGAAAATGTAAAAATCTATTTTTTCCAAAACGTTAGCATTATCTTGTTAGCATTTCTTCTTATTTTATTTTTATTTATAATATTTGTAGCACAAATTTAATATAGTTTTTAATAAAAACGAAAATTGATAAAAAGTCAAAAACCTAACAATTTTATTTGCATCTTTCCAAGTACAAATCATTTTTTTACAATATTATTTTGCAAAATTATTTTTATTTTATTTAGAATCCCTTTTTAAAAATAAAAGAAAGAAATAAAGTTTAAAATAGGCCTGTCACTTGCAGGGTGGGTGAACTGCCCACAAATCTTTAACCTACCCCATGTGAAAATGAGGTGTAATAATTAACAGTTAAGTGTACAATTTCTTTCTTTTTATGTGCCGTGTCCCTTCAGGACATAAGCGATCATGGATCACCACTTCCCCCTATCACTTTTAGCTCTCAATACGTTTCCTCCTTACCTCCCCTAGACCACGTTGTCATTCACTTGCTTAAGCCTGTTGCTTTCCCTTGTCTCTTTATTCGACTTGTGAGTATCAGATTCTTCAGGCCCTCCTTTCTCATTTACGTGCCCCAGAAACTTCAGCTGCCTCTTATTGATGTTATAAGCATCCTCCTTGTTTCAATACTAGATTTTTTTTTCCTTCCATTTTTGAGCCACGTTTTATTTGGAAAAAAAAAATGAAAACAATCTTTCAGAATATAATTGTTAAATTGAACAAACAACGGAAATGACGACATGACTTCAAAATAATTTAATTTTGAAATTGATTGAGTGTACACTGTACAAAGTAAATTAGATTCGTTTTTCTTTTGTCAGAAATTAAAATAATTCCTTTTTTGCGTTAAAAGAAAAAAAAAATGAACAAAAAACATAAACGTAAAAACGAGAAAACATTTTTTAGACAATAAATTTATTTTTCAAGATAATCATCTCCTCCCTTGTCAATGCACTTAGCCAAAACCCTTCTCCATAAATTACAATTAGATCGAACATTAAATAGTGAAAAAAAAAACAATTGTGTCAGGCCACAGACTTATTGATCAGTCTTTTTTAAATACAATTTTTAATGAACTAAAAAGTAAATTTCAATAGAAATCTTTTTGGTGACATGATGCATTTTTTCTGTTATATTTTTACTGACCACCAACAAGAAGCAGATCTTGTTACTAACAACAACAAATCAATCAAAAAAAAAAAGAAATAAAAACATGCGTTTTTTTTTTGTTTATGACGTTTCTTCTTTTATTGACAAAAAAAAAAAAAAAAAAAAAAGAAAGAAAAGGAAAGAAAAACGAAAAAACACATACACGTTTTGATTTGTTTGAACTTTTTCGGCATTTCTCCCCACCGTCTTTGGTTAAAAATTCGCATTTAAACTGAGGTCCAAAAAAAAAAAAAAAAAAAAAAAAAAGGAGGAAGACTTCCACTTTAGTTTGTCAGGTGTTCAAGAAAAAAAAGCGGCGTGTAAAAATTAGCAACCAGGATTAAGAGTTGTTTTTGTTTGACTTAGCAACGTGGAAAAAAAAAAGACGATAACGTTAATTAACAACACCAGTTCAAGAGAGAAGGACTGTTTTAGAAGAGAAAAAGAGAAAGTATTATTATTATTATGAAGAATACTCGTGAAACACGTGGAGAAGGATTTTAAAGAAAACAAAACACGGGTCTCTTTTTATAAACTTTGTCAGGTTCGTTCCGTTATAATAATCTTTTTTTTTTTCTTTTAGATGAATTGTAAAATTATTTGTTAA